GGATCATGACCTGAGCTGAAGGCAGTCGCTTAACCAACTGAGCCACCCAGGCGCCCAAGAGGATTGCTTTCTAAGTGGTGCCATTGTTCATGAGATGTTAATCGTGGCCTCCGTGTCTGAAGGTAGACTGTTTTTCAGGGACATATCACAAATCTAAAAAGGTACTTTAGCAAACCTTCAAATCATCTTAGTCTGCTGGGATCTGTTGTTAACAGCACATTCCAAGCCTATGGATGCTTTTCAAATTATTGTTCAGTAAAAGGCTTGAGATTAACCTCTGATTTTTGAAAAATAAATAGAAAACAGAATAGGAACAAATGTCTCAAGACTTACTAGCCATTCTAAAACTGCTGGGTAAAGTTTTATATACTTGTGTTAATTTCTTATGATTACTCTACTTTGTGGTTGAATTAAATGTTTGAAATAAGTTAAATAAATTCAATTTGCATACATGGAAATGAGATACAGAACACTGTAGTTACTGTTGTTTAATGTTGTAGTTATTAAAACTTGGATAACCAGTGCTAACAGAAAACATTAAAACAATACTATGTTACCGGTGAAAGAGGCCTTTAAAATGTTAACTTTCCCTAGTTCATATTTTGAATAGCTTCAAGTAAGGACTGGACCTTATGTTTTGTTTAGGAGCTGACAGTCAAGTTTAACAGCTAACTATTAATTACTAAATTTCTTTTGTGCTCGAAGAACGTAATATTTAATAGAGATAAAAAAAATCAAATCAAATCATGTCATCCTTTCAAATTGAACCTCTACATTTAAAAAATATTTTCTTAGACAATTATCTATCTATATACGTATTTTTCTAACATTTATAATAGTACAGAGTTTTTGTAGTGTATTTTTTTAAAAGAAATATAATTGCATTTTTAAGAAAGATTTTATTTATTTGAGAGAGAGAGAAAGAAAGCATGAGCAGGGGGAGGGACAGAGGGAGAAGCAGACTCCCTGCTGATCAGGGAGCCTGACGTGGGACTTGTTCCCAGGACCCCAAGATCATGACCTGAGCCGAAGGCAGATGCTTTACCTACTGAGCCACCCAGGCGCCCCTGTAAATGCATTTCTTAGGTATTACCAATTGTACTTGTTCTGGAAATACTAATCTCTATAGTAGTGACTATGAAATATAATTTTATAACCAAATCGACACTGAAAGGTAAGTGTTGGCCTAAGTAGGACAGTGGGGAAGGTAATTTGGAAAAGAAGCTTGTTGAGAGCACAGGCTTCAAATTTTTTTCATTTCAACCTATTAAGGAATACATTTGACATTGAAATTTAGTACACACATTTTATGCATATACATACAAACATATATTTAATTATTAGAAATAGTGGTGTGTGATTACTGACTCTCTGGGGAATAAAAGCCCCTGATTTATAGCATTTGCTGATTTCCATGATATAAGTACTCCCTCCATGGCCAATTTTAAGCTATCAACAGGATGTTACTAGACACAGTTGGGAAGAGTTGTGATGTGCGCTCGTGAGCTGGTGTGGGCCTGCTCTCACACAGCACTGAAAACAAAGGCCTGTGGAACACTACTTACACTTACCAGGTGCCACTCTGATTTTTTTTTTTTTTTAAAGATTTTTATTTATTTATTTGACAGATAGCAAGAGCAGGAACACAAGCAGGGGGAGTGGGAGAGGGAGAAGCGGGCCTCCCGCCGAGCAGGGAGCCCGATGTGGGACTCGATCCCAGGACCCTGGGATCATGACCTGAGCCGAAGGCAGACGCTTAACGACTGAGCCACCCAGGCGCCCCACTCTGATATTTTTTATTTCATTTGAAACATTGATTTTATAAGTTATTACTAGTCATCACCCACAGTTTGAAAAATACTGATTTAGAACAGAGAACACAGTTAAGAAGAGCAAAGACTGAAAAGAAGGCATAAAATTAATTTTGTTCTTGGAAATATCATGTACAGGAGGCACGAGTCTCTTAAAATATAATTTTAGTTATTTGAATGAGGAAAAAAAATGTGTAAAGGAATGCTGATATCTATAGCTTAATTTTAGACTGACAGTATTAAGCAAATGTATACCATAATTTTTGGTATCTTTGGTAGGACCCTACTGAAGGTATAACATCCCAAGTTTAGTCCTATTATTTTGAAGCTAAGGCACATAGTCTAAGTATAAAGTCTAAGCAGTATCTAAAAGTATTCACTTTATCTCAACTGTATTTGATTATAAATGGATGACACAGGCTTTGTGGGTGGGGTAGCTGTCCACGTACTGACCATCTCAACATCACACGACTGTTCTTAATCTAGGGAGATCTTAGCTCCTCTTCAGCATCTTTCATGATGCTTAGACCAGATCAGGGAAGATGCAGAAGAGGTTAGGAAATGAGAAAGCCAACGAGAAGAAGAGAAGCAGACATATTTCTCAATATTGTGTAGGTGATCCTGTACTATCAGAGCACTGAGGCGAAACGGGAGTTGGAAACAGAAAACACCTTCTATTTGATGATGACATGATTATGTACATAGGAAGTCAGGAGAACTTTCAGAAATACCATTAGCACTGCAAGTCTGTGGATATAAAATCAACATATACCAATTAATGGCATTCCTGTATAATAGAAATAACTAACGGGGGGGGGGGCGCCTGGCTGGCCCAGTTGGTAGAGTATGTGACTCTTGATCTCAGGGTCATGAGTTTAAGCCCCATGTTGGGCATGGAGCCTACATTAAAAAAAAAAAAAGAAATAGAGAAATAACTAGCACCCATAATAAAAAAGAGATGCTATTTGTAACACTAACAAAACTATAGACTAAGTAGGAAAAAGTCTGACAGATACCTATATGAACTTGTGGAGGAAAACTATAAAACAGAATTAAAGGAAATAAAAGATGATCTCAAGAAATGGAGCTAAATATGTTCACGATGCACAGTTTTCTGTTCTTCCCAAATTATTTTATAAATTTCATGTAATCCCAATCAAAATTACATCGGGTTTTTAAGGTACAATGTGCAAACTGCTCCTGAATTTTATATGGAGGGTCAAAGTGTCAAGAATAACCAAGATCCTTTAGAAGAATGGTATGTGGAAACTTGCTGTACCAGACAACATTTATTCTAAAACTATGGGTTGAAAGGGAATTTGAAAAAGTGCAAATAATTCTTAAGATGGTGAAACTTTTCTTTCTTTAAACATTTTTATTTGTAATCTTGCTTTTATTTATTTTTTTATTTTTTTA